CTTCAGCAGTAGTTTGTTCTATATTTCTTGCTATTTGTGGGTTTTTGATTTCAAATTCACTTGGTATAGTTATTTCATTCAATTTTAATCTTTTCGGAGTATAAGTTGTAGGTCTATCTGCATCTACTTGTAATAAAGTTGTTTCTTCTTTAAGGGTTGGAGTCATTATAAATTTGGGATTTAAATGAGATGATAAGGGTCTATAATATAATCTGTATATTATTGCAAAATTCTTTGTATGTTTTTCAAATTCATTTCCTTGTAGATGAATATCTAATATGACTGAATTCAAAATGTGTGGATCCGTTAAGTCTATTGAAAAATTTGGAGCACAGTTAAAATATATTGGTCCATTACAAACATTTGTTTGAATCATTGATAATAAAGAAGGTTTATATCTTTTTATTCTAGTATCTCTTAATGCTAAATATATTGGAGCATCAACTCCTAGATGGAATAAAGGTTTTACAGCAATCTGTATTAAACCTATATGAATATATCGATATTCTTTTCTTAAATATTTTTGAATTGTGCTATGATTTAATAGTTGAATAGATTGATATTCTTCTTGAAGAGATATGGTTTCTTCATGAGTTTTAACTGATAAAGCAGTTTTGAAATCTAAAGGGCCTATTCTATAAATATGTTCTATTTTTTCTTCTGGAATAGTCCAATCTGAATTATTTATAGGCATATGATATTCATGACTTTGTACTACATTATCTCGTTTTGAATTTGATCCTATTTTTAATTGTCTAAGAAATGCAGCCATGTTTATTATTTTAATTAAATTTTTACCTAGACGGGAACAACCGAGCACTATGCCTGGAACATCCTTCTCCGGACTTACCAACGGACTAACAAGGCCTTAAGTCTTACCAACGTTTTCAGTAAAAGTTTAATAAAATAAATGAACATAAATGCATGAAATAGATAATTTAAATAGAGACTAAATTCAAAGTTAGAAAATGTAAAGACGAAGTCTAAATATACTTATGCAAATAAGGGTGTGGCTCTGATACCACTTCTACCCAGGACTTTGCAATTATTCATATACGTTAACTAAAAGCAAATATTGTAGGGGCTTAGAGTGTAATAAATGAAACTTACTTGACTTTTGAGAGTGCACAATCGGAAGCTTGAATTCAACAATGGAAACTTGCCAAACTTTATTGTAATGATGAAATCCACTTCTACAAAGACTTTTGAGTACAATGGTTATTTAGAGTGAGTGGGAATAGTAGGAGAACTAAGAGTGAGTGGGAGTGGTAGGAAAACTAAGACAAGTCTATTACAACTTCTGATATTTGTTCGCCGATCCCTATCTTCTGAATCTTCAATCTATTTATAGAGGCTCTGTTCTGCATTTCATCTTTATTTGAATTTCAATTTTGCTTTCATTTGTTGTGGCCGACATTCTTTTTCAAAAGTCGTTTGGATTTTGTCCATCGATGGGATCATCAAAAGGATCAAAAGTAGATTCGGATGATCCTGCTGGCTCCTCTATTTTGTCTTCTTCTTTTGGCTTTTGTAAATAATTCAGATATTCTTTCAGCATCTTGGGATTCTGCATAATTTGCTTTATCAAAAAGTTACTGGCTGTTTCTTCGGATGCCATTTCCGTCACTTTTTCTTTGTCTTTTTTTGGAGTGACTGGAGTTGGTGTAGTGGTTGGAATGATTGTTGACTGTCTTGTCTCCTTTTGAGTAGTGGTAGTAGCTGTCCACTTTAATTTGTCTCCAGTGGTCAGGAATCTGATTACATTAGTTTGATCGCCAAATTCTTGATTGAATCCAGTCCACCATTTTATTTTGAATTCTCTTACCAATGACATTGGCAGAGGTTTTTCCAGTTCTTGATGAATTTTGAAACTCCAGCAAAATATCCATGGCACTTTGAATTCCATGTGGAATAAAATTGGTCTTGTATATTCTTCCCCCTTTACTCTTTTTAGGTACGTTTGAAATCCCATGAGAACATTCGGAGGTAGAATTTCGGGTTGAGGTCCGAACCATTTCCACCAGTGGTTGAACCAAATTGGAAATTCTTTGTTACAACTTTCTTTGAATGTAAAAAACCAGGAATGATTGAATGGTCTAAAAAGGAAAGCACGATACCATGCCATTTTGTAATCTTGGTATGTGAATCCATCTGGAATGAAATTCACTAAAAATGATTTTTTCGAATAAAGAGAAGTCCATTCTCCAGGAGAACAAACTTTCTTTATAATACACTTGGAATGACTAATAATGTTTGGATTCTTTTTATCTGGAATGGGGTAATTCTCTACAGATTGAGTATCTGTAAGGATTAATTCATAATAGTCTAGATTTTTTGAAGGGTCATCTGGTTGCCAATAGCATTTTGGAGGAAAGATCCTTTGAGTAACTTGATGAAGAGAAGAGTATATGGGTATTTCTTGGAATCTGGTTAAAGTAATATGTTGAGTAAATGGCTTTGTGAAATAAGTATTTCCTTGAGATTTTTCTGGGGATTTTGCTAATTGTTGAATGGGTCTAATTTGAGAAGCAATTGGAGTAGCAGCTTGACTATAAGTCAATGCTGGAAAATCTGATAATAGTTGAAATCTATTTTGAGAAACAGGAGTAAGACTCATCTCATAATCCTGAGGAGTCTTTGGCCTGGAAGTGCCTGCTTTTGAATCCATTTTCCTGCAAAATTAATAAACAACATCTTTAAGTTGGTCAGATAATTGTCTATTCTGGTCTTGGTAATATTGAATAAATTCGTTGTGAAGAAATTCTTCACTTCTGCTTGCTCTTTGATGGGTAATGAGTCGAATGGTGTTTTTCTGAATTTGTCTTTGAATAAGAAAGGCTCTTTCTTTTGGAGTAATGGTTGCATAAGGGCTTTTTTGAACATAAATTTCATCGTATTTAGGAATTTGGTAGGCTGGAATAACTTGTCTTCCATTCTGGGTCTGAATGGAATATACATATCCTCTGGATTGAATCACTTTTTCTTTGTTCTGAAGCTTTGGAGAATCTCGTTGTGATCTCAAATAATTTGAATATTCACGAGCATTTCTTCGAGCTATCATTGCTGGATCCATGTCCTTGTAAAAATTCTCTAGTAAGAAAATCTGGTAAAGAATTATTTTCTCCTTTGATAAATTCAATCTCGAAATCAAATACAGATAAAATAGCTTGCCATCTAGCAAATATTTGTTTTGAAACTATATTTTGAACATCTTTTTGTAAAATTTCTTTTGCAGATTTACAATCTATTCTAATCAAAAATTTCTTATTATATAAATCATCTTGAAATTTTGATATGCATAAAACTATGGATAAAATTTCTTTTTTAATGGTTGAATAATTCTTTTGAGGGTCAGACCATGTTCCTGAATGAAACCTAACTAATTCTTCTTTAGAATTATTTATCTTTTGTTTTAGTATTCCACCATATCCTAATTCTGAGGCATCAGTTTCTACTATCATGAATGCTTTAGGATGAGGTAGGCATAAACATGGTAATGACTCTATTTTTTCTTTTAAATATTTTATTTTTTGAGTATGTTCACCTGTCCATGGTTTTGGGTTTTTCTTTAGTCTGTTAAATAATATAGAACATTCTTGTCTTAATTTAGGAAAGAAATCTGCTATATAATTTAAGCATCCTAGAAATCTTTGTAATTGAGTTTTATCTTTTATTTCATCTGGAAATTTAGTAGCAAATTCTAAAGCTCTATTAATTGGTTTTATTGTTCCTTGATATATATTATGTCCTAAAAATCTTACTTTAGTTTGAAATAATTTCATTTTTGGGGCGGAAACAACTAATCCATTTTTCTTAACTACTTTTAAAAATATACTTAAATGTTTGAAATGTTGTTCTATTGATTCTGAGAATATTAATACATCATCTATGTATACTATACTGAATGAGCTGTAACAATAGTATTTGAAGTCTATTGATTCTGATAATGTATGTATGCAGAGTGCATCAAAGAAGTCTTGCAAGAATAATTATCCAAAAGCATGGGCAGAAAAAACTACACATTCTCAGAATTCATATCCAACATACAAAAGAAGAAATGATGGGAAAAAAATTTTGGTTCGGGGACATTACTTAGATAACAGATGGGTAGTGCTATACAATGCTTATCTGTTGGCTAAATTCAATTGTCATATAAACGTAGAAATTTGCTCCACAATTAAGGCTGTGAAGTATGTGTATAAGTATATATACAAAGGCCATGCAAGGAGACATTTTCAAGTGAATTCAGATGATGGAGCAAATATTGTTGATGAAATCAAAGAATATCAGTCAGCACGGTGGGTATGTGCAGCTGAAGCAATGTGCAGAATATACAGATTTCATCTTTATGAAATGCAGCCTGCTGTAATACAACTTCAACTCCACCTAGAAAACTTTCAATCTATGCTATTTCGACCAAATGACAGTCTTGACAATATATTAAGTAACAGTTTTGCAAAAAAAACTATGCTTACCGAATTTTTTTGAATGAATGCTACAGATGATTTTGCAAAAAGTCTCAAATGTACCTACAAAGAGTTCCCTGAGCATTTTGTGTGGTATCCAAGTTCCAAATCTTGGCAACCTAGAAAACAAAAAGATTCTATAGGCAGAATTGTTGCAGCAAATCCCCTTGAAGGTGAACGGTACTTCCTAAGACTCCTTTTACTGCATGTTAGAGCTCCAACTTCTTATGATGATTTAAAAACTGTAAACGGAGTACATGTTACTACATTTCGCGAAGCAGCTGTGCTTTAGGATATTTAGAATCAAATAACTCACAAGATGAATGTCTAGAAGAAGCTGCCGTTTATCATATGCCATATAGCCTAAGAAGGTTGTTTGCAACATTGTTGGTATATTTTACCCCCTCAAACCCAAGATCCCTATGGCTGAAATTTGAAGAATCATTGTCTAAAGATTACAATAGACTCCCAAACATAACCAAAAGTGATATTCAATTTAAAGATCTGCATCAAATAAGCAATTTTTTAGAGTCTATGGGTCGTAATATAAACAACTATGGACTGGTGCCAAGAGTACTCAAATTTCATGACTCAAACACAGATGCAAGAGATACAATTAGTGAAACAGAGATTAAAGTTTCAGAGGATGACTTGGTATCAATTACTAAACTTAATCTTGGTCAAAAAGCAGCCTTTGATACCATAATGCAGGCATTATACATTAAAGGAAAAGGATGTTTCTTTATAGATGGACCAGGTGGCACAGGAAAAACATTTCTTTATCGAGCATTATTAGCTGAAGTACGGTCAAAAGGCTTTACAGCATTAGCTACTGCTTCTTGTGGAGTTGCAGCATCAATATTACCAGGAGGTAGAACAACACACTCTCGATTCAAGATTCCAATTGATATGAATTCAGTTAACATGTGTAAAATTACTAAACAAAGTGCGCTTGCTAAACTAATTCAAGCAGCTAAACTTATCATTTGGGATGAAGCTCCAATGGCACACAAAACTGGTATAGAAGGTGTGGATACGCTACTAAAAGATTTAATGGGTTCTTCTGAATTATTTGGCTCAAAAATTATGATTTTTGGCGGTGACTTTAGACAAGTTCTCCCTGTTGTCAGTAAAGGTTCAAAGGAAGATTTTGTACAAGCTAGCTTAGTAACTTCATACATTTGGCCACAGCTTCATAAACTATACCTCACAGACAACATGAGAGCAATATCAGATCCAGAATTCACAGATTACCTTCTCCGAATAGGAAATGGACTAGAACCAGTAATACAAGGGTCAAAAGTAAAGATCCCTCTCCCACTATTGATACCATACAAAAATGAAACAGAATCAATATTTGAACTTATCAAAACAGTTTACCCAGATTTAATAGCTTTTTCCAAGAACGATTTTTCATTGGTAAATCGAGCAATCCTTACTACAAAAAATGAATTTGTTGATATGTTAAACAACTTGTTAATTAACATTTTTCCAGGTGAGGCTCAAGAATATATTAGTCGTGATAAAACACTTGACATTTCAGAACAAGGCCTATTTGAAGATTTTTAGAATAGCTTAACGCCTAATGGTTTTCCTCCCCATAATCTTATTCTAAAACCAAATTGCCCAATAATTCTTCTCAGAAACATTGACCCCCCTGAAGGTTTATGCAATGGAACAAGGCTAATATGTAAATCTTTAACTAACAATATTATTGATGCAGTTATAAGTGCTGGAGAATTCAAAGGCAAACAAGTCTTTTTACATAGAATATCTTTTCGAATAGAAAATAATCCTGATTGTCCAATGTCATTTGAAAGAGTTCAATTTCCAGTGCGCCTATGCTTTGCAATGACAATTAATAAGGCTCAAGGTCAAACCTTAGATTTTGTCGGTATATACTTGCGTGAACCAGTTTTTTCACATGGCCAACTATATGTTGCTTTATCAAGAGCAAAAAGCAGGGATTGTGTAAAGATTCTTATACAGCCTTCTCCCTTTGATCCAACAGTTGACTATGCTACCAATAACATAGTATACAAACATATTTTACAGCTTGCAAATCATGATCCTTCATAATTATTGATTACAAGATTGTCAGATTCATATTCATTGCACTTATTGATATTCATAATCCACCAGCAATTCATGCTTAACTTTCTTGTACTAAAATATCTATTTTTTGATACCGCCTCAATATTTAAGCCAACTGATGTTTCAGTATATATGATAAGAAAATTCTTGTATTAAAATATAGCATTAACTAGAGCTTATGCTTTGTTTATAATGCAAATAATGTTAAATCTTTCACAAATACTGCTCCATTTTTGAGTTAGAGGTTAGTGTTCATACATTTCATCTGCCCATATTACTAATTCTTGTAGTCATATATTCAGAATATTCATTATATATTAACATTACTCATTCTTGTAATTGTATGTTCAGAAAATTGATTACTAAGTGTTTATCGTTTTTGCAGTGAAAATGTATATAAAGATGAGAATTCTGCTTATCCAGAATATAAAATGTATAAAGTAGCACTGCTTATCCAGAATTTTATATTCAGAATATAAAATATATATAAAGTAGCACTGGTATTACATAACTTAACTAAGGCTGTTATGTAATTCTTTATGTTTTAAACAGGTTGATCTATTCAATCAGAGATTCTGACCTCAAAACTAAGGCTGCTGAGTCAAATAAAGCAGCAAAGATAGATGCAACATCAAGTCATTATTGAAAGAATGTTTGATAAGTACGTAAACTTCTGAAACATTACATTTTACTATAGATTTCAAATTTTTCTCATTATCTCATTTTTCGACCTCCCTGTAGGTATATAATTAACAGAAGATATTGTATATTCAGAAAATTGATTACTAAGTGTTTATCAGTTTTGCACAGTGAAAATGTATATAAAGATGAGAATTCTGATGAGACTCAGAGGCAAGTACCTACATTACTGACCTCAAAGATTCAAAGACGCTTTTTTGTTGGAAGTTTTTGTTTTAAAGCCCACTTCTATAGACTACTCATCTCCTTCATTAATATTTTAGCATTCATTTTATCAGGTTATATAAACTGCATTTGAAGAATAGGAAGCATAAGTTCTTTTTGCTTTCATATGTATTCATTATTTATAACAAATCTTTATCTCCCCTCTCAGGTCTTTTGTTATTTGAATAAACTGAATCACTCATTGTTGTGATTCCTTGGAGCTGACGTTCTATTCAATGTATCTGAAGATGCAGATTATGTCTGGATTATTCCAGGTAGCATGTTATTATTGAATTCTGCTTTGTAAATTTGTTAAGTATTTCTATGTATTGCATCTATAACAAAATAAATCATGGTTAGATAAATACTGATTTTGCACTATAAAGTAGCACTGGTATTACATAACTTAAACTAAGGCTGTTATGTAATTCTTTATGTTTTAAATAAGTTGATCCATTCAATCATAGATTCTGACCTCAAAACTAAGGCTGCTGAGTCAAATAAAGCAGCAAAAATAGATGCAAGACCAAGTCATTATTAAAAGGATGTTTGATAAGTACGTAAACTTCTGAAACATCACATTATACTATAGATTTCAAATTTCTCTCATTATCTCATTATTGGACCTCCCTATAACTATATAATTAACATATGCTATTGTAATCATGTCTCTCACAATTTTGGCAGCTCTAGAAAATATCAATGTGATGTGATTATATCTATCCAACTACTTGAGATCTCAAAATTTGAAAAATTCTAACCTCAACTACTTTAATGATCCTTTATTGGGATTTCAAATAGCATTTAACCTTATAGAGAATAAATGCTGTCTTGAGAGACTTCTATATACTTGACATTGCAGCTGTCTCAGTATTTTTCCTTCCCGAACATATTCAAACCATTCAACAAGACGAGACTGTAAACATATTCTGTTGGCTTTGCTCGCTTTCTAGCTCATTGTTCTTCTCAGCTTCTTCTCACTCTCTCTGTCTCTGGTCCTTGCCCACAAGAAAAATGCCGTTTAGAGCCAGGAACGAGCATGAAGTCAGAGAGATCGTGAAGCCTCGCACTGACAAAAGAGACTACCGAAGAATCGTTCTTCACAACGCTCTCGAGGTTCTCTTCATCAGCTATCCAGAAACTGATAAGGTACTAAATTTCAATCCATCCAGTTTCTTCTTTTTTACCCTGCTTAATTTCTTTTGTTGATTTAGTATTTACTGAATGTTGGAGTAGGTTTTTTTAGTGATCCAGAAGGTCTTGAAGGCCTCGCGCATTTTCTTGGTATGATATTTTGATTTATTTTCTACTTAAACAAAATTTTGGCTTTTCTTTGTTTCTTCGTTCAGCTTTATCATTTTCCTTAAATAATTTTGTGTCTCTTCATTCTCTACGTCTATGCAGCTGCTACTGTCTTTCTTGTACCATTTTTGGAGAGGAAAGGAAATTTCCTGAGGTGAACTTCAATTTCATTATTTTTGGGTTGTTTTCTTGTGTTGCTTAGGTAATTTCTTTTAACCATGTAATGCGTCAGAATTCATAAAAACACAATAATTTTACAGAAATTTGAGGAAAGTTTCATGGTTTTAAGTATCTTTTACCTTGTTTCGCTTTCAATCTATATGTATGGTAAATCACCCTTGCCGGAAGTCATAAAAGATTTCTTGTTTTGCTTTAAAATATTTGGCTATGGGTTCAACATCAATTTTACACTACAAGCTTCTGCTTTATCCCCGTAGTTTCCTTAATGCTTTATACAACTCCATTAAAGTGTATGTTTTGTATGTAATAATGCCTGAAATGGCCCAATTCAAACATGCTAATTGCATTATCCATGCTGTCACAACTGTGAACACATTACTATGCACCTACTTTCCTCATTCATTTATATGCTGCATAATGATAAAAGTAATTATCTCTATCTAATATTTTGTATTTGTTTAAACTGTCACAATTAACTCAGCAGAGCTACAAATTGGACTAAGTGTAGCGCAACAGTACTATAAGTTATTGACAGCAGCCATCTACAACAACAAAAATCACTAATGGCTTCTTGTCACAGAGTGAGATTGGTGGTGGTGGCAACTATTCAAAAACATAAACATTGGTATTCATCTTATTCCATTATGTAAAAAAGTACTTATTTTTATGTTTCCACTTTTCTACCTTTTTTAAAAAATCATCTCCTACAGGTTATTCACCATAGTAGCTACCTTAGTCTTGGTTTAGCAACATTAGGAACTCCTAATGAAGATATTTTCGATGATATAAAGAACGTCGTGTAAAAGCTTAATAAATTAAAAGCTATCATCTATTTCTAGAATTAGAAGCACGTTATGAATAAATATATGCATTGGCATTGGCTTACAGTAAAACTGCAAACAAGAAGACCATTTCACGCCTGCTACATTTTGATGCATCAGAATTAAGCAACAATCTTATGCAAACAGCAGTTTTGGCACGTAGTTAGTTTCTCTTATGTTCAAGCTTTGCACTTGCTTATCGTTTATCTTCTGGATTATAAGAATATGATACCAAACCTTTACTTCTCCAAACAAAATTTCATATTATGTATTTGCTCTTAACATTTTCTGACCATCTACAAGAATCAATGAAAATGCACAGATTCAATAATTCATCTAATTGAGTTGCTAACCTTAAAATACACATGTTATTGCTGAAGTCTTTAACATCAGATGTAATCGATTTTATTTATGAAGAAGCTTTTATAACAATGGCCTGAGTGATTCCCCTGTTAATGCATTCAGGTCATTGGAAAAAATTATTCTGGTTAAGCATGAGGATGCTATGAACAAGATGCATAAATTGCTTTGAAAGACAAAACATAACAAAGTAACTGCAGTTGTTAGTCTTACTATTTTTAGCCAATCTTGACTCCTCAAATTGTCTCCTTGCTTTCAATAACTACCTATGCTTTCATTAAGCAGGTTATAGATTGTAGCACATTGACCTCAAAAAAATTGACAATGACAGGCAGGAAATACAGACCATCTAAAATAAGACCCTATAACATCAAAAAGAACAAAAATTAAAATTATCAAGTATGTATACAAATAAGGACATTTAGGAGCGCAGAAATTTATGTACTCAATACCTCCCAGTTACAAAAAAAAAAAAAAAAGCCTTGTCAAACCATGTAGACAGAATCAGACTTGAAGTCTAAGACAAGTTGCAGACCATATGTACCCAAACATTGGCTATTAATATTGCAGAGCATATGTACCCAAAAACCACATTAAACAATGAGAAATCACATTAAAAAAGGGGAAAAAACCTTTTACTGGGAGGATTTCAACCAAAAAATGCCGAGCAGATAGTTGAAGTTCAATCAGCTGATTTAAAAAGATGCATCAAGAAATTGTACAAACTTCAACTTCGGCTATAAGAACAACACCGCAAACAAAAATTCCAGATTCTCACCTTGATTCTTCAGTTTGCAAATGACTCCAGTATCTCCTATCATCAATGCCTGTTACGGCCTGCCCATTCCACTACTTTTATCCAACCAGACCTTCTGCACAAAAATACATCAAGATCAATAACACAAGACA